ATAAATGATTAGTTAAAAGAATATCTATTACAAATTTTGTTAATAACAAAGCATCTTATTATTTCATGTTGATTATTTTTTTTGTTGAATTTTTATAACTGGATAGTTATCAAATATTTTATGTTTAACTTTTATAACTGTGCAATTAAAAAATGTTTAACATTTATGCGTGTTTATAAATATTGATGATTTTTTTGTTTTGGTTTAGTAGCGTATACTTTGGCAATATTTTGTCGTTTTTATTTTTTAATGTTTGCGTGGTTTAGTTGTGGATATATTGTTATTAACTGATTGTTGTTAAATGTTATATGTTAAAAGTGTATTGTTTATACCTTGATTAAAGTTGGTTTTATTTAATTTCTAATTTTACGATAAAACTATATATAAAATTAAAAATATTTCATTTAAACACACAAAATACATTATATCTCTAAGTTTCGTGCTTCTTTTTTCAAAGTTTGTCAATTTACGTTTGACCCAATAACCTCATACACACCATTACTACAACACAAAAACAAGTACCCAAATGGACAATATCACAATTTTTGTCATGTAAGTTATTTGGTTTATCAATTTTTTCAAAACATTTGGTATAATATTTCATTAAAAACCATTATATACTTACTATATAATTTTTCATCCTTATTACAAACTGATTCACACCTATAATACACCGTAAGTAGATCTTCTTATCACGCATCTTAGTAACGGTGGTTGATGTTTACTTCTTACTTCTTATCAATCAATGAAATCTAAATTGTCTTTATAATCCATAAATAAAATCATCAATTTATTATTCATACCAAAAATAAATTACTATTGTATGAAAACTTATAGTTCTCAAAAAATAAAAATAAAAATCTAAAACCCAAGCTAATCAGCAATTTAAAAAAATTGGTGACCAATACAAAAAAAATAAGATACCAATTGCACCAATAAAAAATGTTCAAAACCAATTTAATCGCTATGTATTGAAATTATTTAAATATCCTATCGTTGTGTGTTAAAATTTTATAAATAATATAGTGCATTCAGATACAGACAATAACTAGTAATTCCACGTGAATAAAAAGTTGCATAAAAAACGGACTAAAGGACGCGATACTGATATGCTAATATTTTTGGTTTTATTTTTATTTAGAATTAAATTTTTCTCACAATGATTTTCTGTCATGTAAGGTATTTCGAGAATCAAGCGTCACCAACCAATTAATTACCGATTCAAACCGCTAATTTTCTTGTCCTTTTTTTAGTCAAGTGTCTACCGTATTTTTAAGTAATTTCAAGTTTTTCAGCACGGCAGTGGACTATTCTTACTGTACAAGTGGTATCTCTCTCTCTCTCTCTCTCTCTCTCTCTCTTTCTCTTCCTATAAAGCAAACCATGGTGTTGCTGCTACTACAAACCTGCAACAACCCACTAACAATCTCCCCTGCATTGCCTTTCTTCCTCCTTTAATTCTTGCTTCATTTCTCTCTTGATCAGCCCATTGATTTCTCCTTTGGCCATGGCAAGACCTTTACCAAGTCTCTCCATGCAAAAACTTCCATTCCTACCTATATCAGTCACCTTTTTCTTCATCGTAATTTCAGTCTTCTCCATCTTTACCCTTGTAACTTTTCTATGTGCTTCTCACAAAGCCACCAAAACACAGAGGCTCAAGCAACAGAAGACTATTCAAATGGGCGACAAAAAGCCCATTTCGAGGTTACAAAGTAACATAAGTAGTAAGGCTCTTTTGATGGTGAAAATGATTTCATGGAGAAAGGTGCAGGATGAAGGAGAAGATGAAGAATATTGCCATGATGATGAAGAAGCTTTGTGGAAGAGAACAATCATTATGGGAGAGCGGTGTCGCCCTTTGGAATTTTCCGGGAAAATTGCATACGATGCGGATGGAAATCTTCTTCCTGATTCACCTCATCCAAGTAATGGTAAATAATTAATGTTCTCTCTTCTGGACAATCTTGATTAGTGGGATGACTTCCTTTCTTCTAATGAAGCTTAACTCAGCTACTCCTTGATCAGTTTGGTCGGTTATGAGAATTTTGCTTTTTTTTTTTCTTTGTTTTGGGAAAAAAATTTCCTCTCCCTCCATTAACAACTAGCGAGAAGGCTAGTGTGCTGATGTTTGTTTGCAAATAAGTCTAAAATAAGCAATGGTAATAATATTGTCTCTTCTGGACAATCTTGACTAAAGGGATGACTTCCTTTAATGAAGATTAACTCAGCTGCCTACTTCTTGATCGTCAGTCGTGTGAATTTTGTTTTTGTTTTTTTATTTTTAATTTTCCTTTTTCCCTGCATTAACAAGTAGCTAGAAGACTAGTGTGTGTGTGTGTGTGTGTTAGTGTGTGTTTGTAAATAAGTCTAAAAAATCTTGGATAGAGAAGAAAAAGAGATGAGGGAGAAATAAAAGAAGATCAAAAATGTTGTGGCAGAAAACTTCAGTTTTATATGTGAATTTCAAGTTTTTTTAAATCAAATTTTCTGGTCCTTCCAGTTTTCAGAATTTTAACTACTCGATCATGTTAATTACTCTATTTAGCTCAAAACTCAGACAATTGACCACAGATCCTGATTAGTAGAATGACAAATGGGTTAGACAGCAGATAGGCTTTTCTCAGGTTGGCGGAAACACTTGTGGGAAAGGAAAGGAAACAAAGACAGAAAAAAAAAAAGCATCTTGGACAGTGAAGAAGTGCTCTTTTTTTTTTTTTTTCCCTGAAGAAGATATTGCATACATAGGAGAGGAGGAAGGGGACTTCAGCCAACCGAAAAAGTTAAAATTAACTTCATTTGTGTTTTGTAATTTTTTTTTTTAATAACAATTACTGCCAATAGAATGGGAATATGCATTCCACTTTAAGTATGGAATCTGGATACAAGCTTGAAACAGCAAAAGGGGAAGAGAGAGAAGGTACGAAACAAAATTCTTTGTTGCGTGTACAGCCCCGCCTTTGTGATTTAATTTGACATCAGTGTTTAAAAGTTCTGACGTTCAAATCACACTGCTGCCTCTTTTATTAGATGGATCACCCAAGAGGGATTACATATGAAAAGGTAGTAGTAGATAAATACATGTTTAATCATTCTCTATCAGGTTGAGCTTTTAGATGTACAAGTGTGTGAGACAGACTCTTGTGGTGAAACCTGCTCCGCAACCATCAGCGATCAGAACAGAGAGAGGATTATATAATAGAGTGAACTCACAAACTTAGCATAATTAATTTTTTACCCCATTTTTTGCAAACTAAAAGGCCGATGCACCACACTCAATCGAAGAAAAACTATAGCAAATAATAAGATTACAGTTATGTGTTCGTTCTCCTTTCTAGTTTAGTGCAATCAATAATTTTAAAAAAAAGGTATTTAGATCAACTCCTAGGGAAAGAAGGAAACAATTGACACTCTCCCTTGTAACTTACGCAACAAACTCGAGCAAAAAAATTGAAGAATAACATCTAATTGAAGTCAACTGAGACAAATGGAATAAGGGGTGAGTTTTCACCATTGGTCGCTTGAGTCTATACTCTATAGGCTACCTATCCTATCCTATCCTATCCGAGATCAACTCCTAGGGAGGATTGTAACGAGAATAAATTTTAAGAACCGGGTCATACAAAATACCAATCAAGAAGGCTTTCGACAAAATAATCTGGTTAATGTGCAATGCACGTCTTTGCCAACAACATACTAAATTTTCGTCAAAATCTGATATTGAATGCCTGCTCGAACTTTGGCTTGAAGTAACCGCCTACGTAAACAATCCCTCTGTTTTGTAGCGCCTCCACTCCGTCGGTTTTTCACGTCGTCTCCCTTCTGTTTTTATTTTAAAGGCTGCCAAACCCAATTGAAAACAAATTTCCTTCATGTGGTCCCAAGTGGGTCACGTTTCCACCAGCAAGAGTAATCTTTTTTGCATCTATGAAAAAACATGAGTTATGGACCCATGACAATGGGTTGGGCTACCCACATATAGTTGTACCCAACCCAACAATGTCCCCCTCTAGCTCATGTGGGGGCCAACCAGGTCCGCTTTCTGTCTAGACACTTCAACTTTCTCCTTGGACAGTGGTCTAGTCATCACATTTGAACCGTTTTTTGTTAATATAGATCTTTTCAAGTTATAATGACTTCATCTCCGATACATCATGGATCCAATGATATTTCTCATTAATATACTTGGATCATGAGTGGAAAGTTGATTTTTTGCTGAAATGGATACTACTCTGATTATCATAGTAGAGAATATATTCCTCATTTTGTAAGCTCAATTCTTGAAAAAATGTCTTCATTCACAACAATTCTTTGCTCGCTTTAGTCACAACAATATACTTAGCCGCTATCATAGATAAAACAACACACCTCTGTAACTTAGATTGCCATAACACTGCTTCCCCTAAATAAGTAATTAGATAACCTGAAGTAGACTTACTAAAGTCAATATTCTCAGTCATATCTACATTTGCGAACCCATCAAGCACAAGATTTCCTTTGCCGAAACACAAGACAACTCTAGAAGTACATCTGAGATATTTGAGAATTCATTTTACTACTCCCATAATGTTTTTTACCTGGATTAAAGAGAAACCAACTAACAACACTGCTATCATGAGTGATATCACACTGAAATGTAAATAAACGCCACAAAATATTATTATTAGCGTTTGTCATTAACGACGTCCAAAGCTCCATCTGAAAAATTACCGGCGTATAATTAAATGCCACAAAAATTAAAGTGACGTTAATTAATCACTCAAGCGACACTTATTTAATCGATGACTTCTTTGTAAAATTTCAGTGCCTGGAGCTATGTTTCGGAATTTATTTAAACGCCAGTAATTATTATTTATGATTTTCTTGTTTCTGGCGTTTAAATAAACGCCGGCAATGATAATTAATATATTTTTTTTCATAATAAAACTTAACTCATTGCATTTTCACTAGAATGATAATTTTAAATATTCGGGGATTCTCCACCAGATGAAAAATTGATAGTCAAGCTACTAACAATACCTATATATATATATATAAGAACAAAACAGCATTACAAGAAGCAAAGGAGAAACACAAACCAATGTCCATAACAAAAGCCAGAAATTAAACTAAAACCAGGAAAAAAAACTACTCCATCAGACAGCAAAGACCAAATCAGCCCATATCATCAAAAACAAGAGTCCTCTTTTTTTCGAAGCACAAGTAATCCCCTGCCTCAGTGCTGCCATCTTTTTTTTTTTTAACACAAAACTAGTCATTACAAGCAGCAAAAAGGAAAACCACATAAAGGCCTCCTATTCCAGAAACAAAAACAAACAGAAAACCAAATCAAAAGATTACAGGCCAGCTCCCAAAACAGTCAGCAGAAACATCACTCTTACAGCCACCTCTAACCAATAACAGCAGTAAAACAGGTCAACAACAGCTTTCACAGCAGCAATTTGAACTGACATCAACTTCCAGCCAATAAAAATGACTTGTTTCAAACAAATCAACACTAAAAACTACAGGCACAAACTCAGCATCCAAGCAACCACAATTACATTGATCATCATAAACCAAAACTCTCCTCTTTCTTAGGATAGGAAAATTTTTTGTGGTTCGTTCTTGTAATTCTTTTGATTAGAAATTAATAAATTAATAAATTTATAGGCAAATCCAACAAAGAAGCCGTCCAAGTTGTGTTTTTTTTTTGGCACTTGTTGTGTTTCTAAAATGTTGACTTGTACATGTCAACCAGTTTTCCAGGGGTTAACAGACAGAATTAAAAAAAAAAAAAAAAGGGTTAATGGACAGGCCTCTCTCTCTCTCTAATGCTTTCTGTGGTTAGTTAAAATTACATAGTATCCATGAAGCAATTCTTAGAATTATAAAGTTTATCCCATTTTCTTCACTTTCAAAGCTCCCACCAATGAACAGTTGTCCAAATAATGATATGAGGACCCTGTCATATAGAGTTGTGTCCAACTCGAATTCATGGAGTGTAATCTACCATTAAGAGAATAGTATATTGTCTGTGATCAAAATGTGACATCAAAAAAATAACTCAGAATATCAAAAAACCATAAGAAAAATATATTAGTGTCTTTGGTTCCAATTCCATATATATGTGTGTATTGTTTTTTTAGCAGTCAATTGTTAGGCTTCTCAAAGGGAACAGAACACAAATCCAATTTCAGCACTAAGATTACCTGGAGATTATTCACTGCCTTCTACTTCTTCAAATTTCAGTGTGGACAGATCCATGACACAGAAGAGAGAGAGTGACTTGGGCTGGAATTTCGCTGCATGATTATTAACATGCTGCAATTTCGCTCTCTTTTGTCGATGAACCTACATTTAATATTTGATACGACATCAATTGAATTAGGCCAAAGTAATTGCAACAAGATCAATACTAGTCAACAAACTCATGTAATATTTGAGCTACTATTCCATTTATTGGCCCCTTGACCAAATGAAGATGCTCTAGAATGACCTTGAAACTCTGTATCTTGCACTGCCGGACTTCTTGACTCACTCCTCATCGATGATCGATGAGAGTTTATATTGAGTACTAGATGCATCAAGTACCTTTTAAGATTGCAAATACTTAATATTCATGGAGAAAAATAATACAATAATACAATAACTCTTCTAACTCAAAATATAAGTCGCTAAAATTTTTATTACCTTTTCAACCTGAAGTGGATCTGTGTTTTTGCGAGCTGGTTCGAGAATAGGCATACCCATTGCACGCATTTGAACGAGAAAAAAATAATTTGAAATAAATATGAAACATATGCGAAATAAGAATGGATAAATAGTGAACATCTTTCTTGCCAATTTTACATATCAAGGCTTGTGCAACAACATCATTAATTGGTCGACCATCTTTCTTTGAATATGAAACCTTAAAATATTCAATACGACTCATTTTCTTCCCATAATAAGATTACAGTTAAAATAGACACAATAAATAAACTTGAATAAAAGTCTTTTATACAACACATTTGTTTTCTAACAAACCCTTTCCATAACACATGCAAAGCTTGTTTGGCCAATAGTGTGATGAAATTTTTTCTTGCTCCGAATGAGTTTGTTCCTCTCACTTTTTTCCTATTACATGCCAAAAGCAATTATCATAAAAATTTGAAAAAAAAGAGAAATGACTTATTTTAGAATTGACAAGATTTACACTTGCATATTTGTACTTGTGCCTTCGGAGTGCTCCAATAATAGACCATGGCCCGCCAATGTGATTCCTCCACTTGGTCAGGCTTGTGAGCTAATCTTTCTACATCAGTTCTATAGGGATAATAAACTTGTTTCTTAATCTCACACTTCCAGTCTTTCCACTTCCTCCCTATAGACTTCATTAGATATCCTTTCATCCACTCTTTTGCATCAGTGCTTGCCTACAATTCCATTCAAAAACCACTAATAACATGCAAAAACTATATAAAATCACTTAGTTACTATAAAATAAATTCAAAAAATTTCCACCTTTATTTCATCTCATATTCTTTCTTTATACTCCTTGGGAACAACACGCCACTCGTGCCAATTTAAGGGTGTCATGGTCCCATTTCGAGCTAGCATGCCTAAACGAGATTGAAGTGGAGTAGCTTTTTCACCAATTGGTTGTTTTAATTCATTTTCCTCAATGTATAGCACACTGCTGCCATGTGTCAAGGTACGCCCTCTAGTTCCTCTCTGTATAGAATCCGAGGAATTGGAACCTCCACTTAAAAAAAAATTTTTAGTGATTACAATATCATGTCTAGTGAAAATTATTACCTTCTATTCCTCCATTACTAAAATATACCGTTGTCGTTGCGTGATGTATTGCCATCATCGTCTAGTGATTGGCCACAAGATTGATGGTTGGTACTAAAACCTGAATTATAAATACTTAAATTACTAAACATATAATTGTATGCATAATATCAAACTGTGAGAAAAACATAATCTACAACCAAATAATGTACCTGGGAGGCTAGAAGTAGGATGCCACCATGATGGTGGTTCTGGAATCATGTGCACATTTTCCACCATAGCAAACCATGAACCATTTATGAATATACAAGAGTTTGGAAGTGTGTCATCAAGATATAAACACTAAGCAGTTTCATGATATTAAAAGAGAGCTTGACACTTTACATAGCAATGAAAATCCAAAACAATTAAACATATAAAGTCTTATGATATTAAAAAAAATAAAAAATTCATATATCATTCATCATCATAACCATAGACTGTGGTTCCAACAACACCTTGTTTAACCTAGACCATGTCGTCGTCATCATGATCGATAGCAGTTTCATCTAAATCTTGTTGCCCATATTCTTCCAACTGGTTATGTTGCATCCTAGCATCTTCTCTTGGTTGTTGTCCATAGACTTCAAATAAATCTCTACGTTTCATCTTGATGACTATTTTCCAATCTTCTTCAATGGGATCTTGTACATAGAAGACTTGTTGTGCTTGAGATGCCGGGATGAATGGTTCATCAGAAATCAATCCCTTGGTGTAAAGCAAATTTCTAAAATTGACTAGTGTAAAACCAATGTCATCCCGCTCGACAAGACCCCTATTGTAATCGACCCAATCACACTTAAATAATACATAATTACAGTCTGGTAAATAATATAGTTCAACAATATCAGTCATCATTCCATAATATGTAACATCTCCTTCCACGAGATGCATGTCCCTTGAACTAGCATAACTATGAGTACGTGCCTTTAGCATAACACCAATGTTTTGAATTTTTCCTCTTCGTTCACGTTTCTTTGTGTGATACCTTGTACCATTGATAATGTACCTTGTGAACCTAGTGGCTTGCTTAGACGGACCCATAGCTAGTGTCATAATCTCATTAGAAAGTTGCATATTTCCTGTTGCTATTAACTACTGCACCTATAGTAATGGAAATTTTGAAATATTAAACACTAACACATAACATGTCACTTAACTTGAAATTATATGTAAATTTCTCGATGTTACATACATAGGATGCAAACCATATGTGAAATGTATCATTGTGAAAGCGATCGACTTCATGATCCCTCACACGACGATTGAACGTTTTAATAATGGCTCGATGTTCCTGTGTAAAAAATTCTTGTTTGAATGCAATGAACATAAAGTTGGTTCACTATTCTAACACAATAAAAAAAAATGGAACCATGTATTACTCTTGAAATGGGACAACTCTTATCCATAAACGTATTCCAATATGATATGTTTGCAAATCTGAACCATCAAACATATGTTGTTTCAAGATACCAAAATAATCGAACACAAAAAAAATAAGGAAAAAAGGGAGTTGGAAATTCAACAATCCTATACCGTATGTTTTAATAATTAAGTACAATCAAATTCAAGGAACGAAGAATATTAATATGCACAAGTAAACTAAAATAAACACAGTTTGTCAACATAAAACTAAAACCTCTATTTTTAGCCAGTCAAAACAAAAAAAAAGCCTTCAGAAACGCTAGATTTTGAAATGAAAGATCAAGAAGGTTAGAACAGATCTTTAACCTGTAAGTCCCTGTTTCTAAAGAACAAGACTATGGATAGAAATAAGAACTCGCTGCTCTTTGTGGAGCAAAATATATGAACTCCAACAAAAGCGTTGGAATCAATCTACGCGATCACAACAAAGACAATTATATAAAATAAGCGGATAATAAATTACAGGCCACTAAACTTTAATGTACTGTACCAAATTCAACAAATTAGAATGAATTAAGCAGAATTAAGCAAATTCAATGACTAAACTTTAAGCAGAATGAATTATCCCCCTCGGTTTTGACAAATCATCTTGGAAATTCTTGATTGTATTGTACTATACCAAAAAGACAAACAAAAAATTCCTAAACTTAGCGGATTGTAACAGCCCAAGTAGTCATCTCGCAGGCGATAAAGAAATCTGCATTCGTGTTGAGAGAGAGAAGAAATTAAACTAAATCTACATCAAATTATTCATAGTTAAAGCAGAATCAATAAATAAAAGAAAAATCTACAACAAATTAAACAACAAGCGAAATGGAAAAAGGTTAGCTAGATAAAACACAATAATGGAGCTAAAAATGTGCAAAGGTACTTACAGATCGCAGAAAAATGCGAGCTGAGAGAGAGAAGACGATCAGAGAGGTGCCCGACGAGGAGTCGCATGCGAGAAGGACAACGAGGAATCACCTGAGAGAGAGCAGTCGAGGAATCACCTGAGAGAGACAGTCGAGGAATCGCCGGAGAGAGGGATGACGAGGACTTGCCTGAGAGAGCGACGACGAAGAGTATTCGCCTGAGAGAGAGCCGGCGAAGAGTCAGTCGCCTGAGACAGAGTGAAAGCAAGAGAAGTCGCAAGGTTTCTGTGGCTATTTTGAGTCCAGAGAGTGAATTGGGAAAACAATTAGGTTGATTTTGGGGAGGGAATTTTTTTTTTTATTATTTTTAATTAAGAATGTGTGGCGTTTGTCTTAAATGCCGGAAATTAAGCGAATTTTTTTTTATTATTTTTATTAATAATTTATGGCATTTGACTTAAATGCCAGAAATTAAATGAAAAAAAAAATATTTTTATAATTTTTTATTAATAATTTTTGGTGTGTATAAAAAAATGCCAATTTTAGTGGCGTTTAAGTTAAATGTCAAAAATTTGATAAAAAAAAATTAAACACAAAAATTAAATGCCGAATTTTCCCATCTTTCTTGTAGTGTCAGGCCTCTTTACCTTTGTCTTGTAGAAAGTGTTAATCTTCTTGTCCTTGGCTAAGATAAGAGTCTTTGCTAAGTTGTCATTTTTCCTCGCCAAGGTAATTATGGTAACCTTCGTAATCAAGTTTTCCTATATAAATCAGGTTGAAGGGCAATTCTGCGACATTTTTAACATTGTTGAGAAGTAATTTACACTCTTTTCTGGTTTCTAACAACGCGTCTCCAATGTAATTTTGAACTTTGCTTCATTTTTTCCTAATCCAACCAAAGTCATCACTAAAATAGGAAAATAAGAAATCTTTACATGTAGTAATATGAAAGGAAGTTGTTGTATCAATTATCCAAGTAGAGTCCTAGCATACGAGATTGACATTGGTTGTCAAAAACTTGACTCATTTCCATATAATTCAAAGCGTTAATAGCTTTCATAAGAAGTAAACAATACAATCCTTAAACAATGATTAAGCTCTAATATCAACTTGTAACGCCCTAGTTTTCTGGATGCGTTAATTAATCAGATTCCACAATTATATCTCCAAATGGTGAGCCAGAGCTTGAATTACGTCAATAAAAAATTATATTGATAATCTAACGTCCAATTACAAGTACATCTCCTAATTTATATAATACCAAATTTATATTATCTCTAGTTCCTCAAATATTCCACTCACAATCCTTTTTGAAAAATTGAGTAAGCATGGAAGTATATAATATGAGAGGAAACAATATGCTTAATGATAAAAGTACAAATGATTGAATATCAAATAACTCAATTGATAAGCATTTACGGAATCATGAGTCAGATATGACATATGACAACATACATCGCTTCGTAGCTAGTTCATCTTGGTAACATGACAAGTGACACTTGAGCATATATCAAAACTCATACCGATCAATCACACTAGGTAGGCCCACAACCACATCTCACAAACTATGTCTCAAGTACACTTCATACATATATCAATCAATCCTAAAGTAATTAGTCAAATACAGGCTAACTAACAAAACATGCAGAATTTCATCTCCATCAAAAATAGCGAATAAGAATATGAATTTCAAGATAATAAATATAATACTCTTTGCCAAGAAATTAAAAGATAAAAGCACATTGGGTACTTCCTTGTACCTCAAATCGTCAATTGACTCCGACAAATATGTACTTAAAGCTACCAAGAACCATATCCTCAAATTGATAGCAATTCGATCTAAAATTACCATTTGATGAAGGCTCATAGTCTCTTTCTCTCTCTCTCTCTTTCTCTCGGTTACATCTTTTTCTTCTTCTCTCCATCTCTTCGTTCTCTCATTTCTTTTTTTTTTCTCTCTTTGGTGCGATTTACTAGTGAGAGAAGGGGTTATATTTATAGGAAAAGGGAAGCAGGTGGTAGCACCTTGCATGCCAAAAATATCTCCTTGCTTTACATTTTGATGTTGAGTGGTCATTATTGCATTATTTTATAGCTAACATGCTCACTTTAGGCTTGCTAGTAGACTAATTTGCTTTACTTATTTTGTTTTGTGATTTGTGCATTGATTTTGTGTTTGCAGGTAGTCTAAGTGTCACGGGGTGACAACTCATTTTTCTTTCGAGGATACCTATGAAGACATTGTCACTTCAACTACCCACACAAAGGCACACACGAATTTACTGTGACAACACTCACAAACCTTATATATTGAAGTTCTCTATAATTTACAAAGAAGTAAGAACATTATTTGTCTCACCAGAATGTCCAAGCACCCCTATTTATACAAGAAGTATGGTAGATGACACCTCCATCTGCTAAGGGGGCTGTTACACACAATATATTTATTCCCTAGTAGACTTGGTCAACAAGACTGTTTCTCTGTGCAATACCTGACAGACAGTTCCACCCATTCAGCAACTGATGTGGAATTGCCCTTTATCAGCATACACTTGAACCAGAATATGGCAAAGAACGCCTAGAACTACCTCCTTTAAACTAGGCTCTGTTCAACAACTACCATGACTGAGTCATGCATCAGCAACTGGCCACATCCTCTTAGTCATATGCATTGAGCAGCCATGTGCTAGCGATGTGCCCACATTCAGTAATCAACCTTGCCTCACGAACCATTGTGCATGTTGGGTCCAGCCCATGCCATGCTATTCGAAGTTATGCACCTGCATTGCCTCAATTGATCCCACCTCGTGTTGTCATGCTCAATCGAGTGGTCTCATGCTGCCACGGTCCGCACCAACCTGTTGAACCCTTAGCCGCATCACCTTGATTCCTTCTCATGGCATGCCATAGTGCAAGGTGCCACCATGACCACCATTATGCACCCAAGTCAATTAGGGTGTGACAAGTCACCCCCACCTGAAGTATCCAATGACCTCGTTGGAATGGTGGCATGGTACTATTTGATAAGATCCTCGAACTGCCACAATGTCGTCTCTTTCTTTCAAGTGGCTTCTTCCCATGCTTTCCCTTTTCACTTGATTAGGTAATGAGTCTTTCTATTTTTCTTTCTCATTCCCTCATTCTTGTGGTCAAGGATAGCTTCTGCTATCTTTGTGACTTGTTTCCTGATTGTTGGAGGAGCCTGACGCTGAACATATCTGCTAGGGTGCTCTAGGTCCTCAACGTATAGCTTCAAGAAGGCAACGTGGAAAATCAGATGTAGCTTGAGACGACTGGGAAGATCCAGCCTAGAGGACAACTTGCCAATCCTTCTTATAATAAGAAAAGGATCATTATAGCGCTTTATCAATCCCTTATGTGCAGACTTTCGAGTGATCTTCTTCAAAATTGGTGGGTTCATTTTAAACATCACTGTGTCACCCACTTTGAACTCTATTACCCTACTTTTCTCATATGTCCATTTCTTCATCCTCTTCATTGCCTTAGTCAAGCAGTCTTTTGCCTTGTCGGTCCTCTACTGATTGGCTCGAGCAGAGCGATAAGCTGTAGGACATCTCATTGAGATTTCTGCTTGGCAAATTAATGCGGAGTAAGAGGTTGTTGGCCAGTTGTCAACTCGAATGGGCTCATCCTAGTAGAAGAGCTTAACTGCAAATTGTAGATTGGGCGACATCAAGTAAATCCACCCAATTCTCCTGGTTCGCTATGACATGATGCCTGAGATATTCCTCCAGCATTGCATTAACCTGCTCAGTTTGCCCATTTGGTTATGGATGATTGTTGGTGGATAGGTTGATCTATGTGCCCAACAGCTTGAACAAGGTGTCCAAAACCAGCCAGTAAAACACGTATCTTTGTCATTGACTATATCAACTAGAAAACTCCAAAGTTTCACAATATGCTTAAGGAATAGCTGAGCAGTGACTTTAGGAGAACAGACTTTTGGAGCCACAATGAAGGTGGCATACTTCGAGAATTTGTCTACAACCACAAAGATTGAAGTAAAGTCATTCACCTTAGGCAAGCCATCAATAAAATCCATGGAAACACTCTCCCAATGTCTACTTGGAATAGGGAGAGTCTCCAAAGTACCTGTCATCTTTCTCCTTTCCGTCTTGTCCTACTGGCACACAAAATAAGTGCGAACATAAAGCCCAACTTTTGCTTCCATGTGAGGCCAATAA